AAAAACTGTTTGTAACACCATTATAAATTAAAAATCGTGTAATCCGCAACCAGTAAATATCGACTTATTACTACATTACCCAAGCATCGAGGAGAATGATGAAAGTGTAATTCGACGCTCCGCGCGCACTGGGCTTCTCCGTGTTAAAGATTTGATGTAAATAGTCATAATAAGGCTTTGACAAACGCGCGTACAAGGCAAAATTTGTTTTAGGCTTCTTGCTTTACAACACTTCCTACGACAGACGCCAGCATGTGCAGCGCGTGGTGCCTGGGAAATTTAGGAAAGGTCTATTGGGGCGCTTTCTGCTTCTGCGTGCTATCAGTCGCCGGCCGATTGAGTCAATGCAATCGACTACAGTATTCCAAAGACGTTGCCGTGCCGACAATCAGCGCGTTTATTCAGGCTTAGAAATGGCCAGTATCGAAAGACTCTAAAAATTGAAAGGCGTTTACAATTCCCTGCAATGCCGAATTAGAGCGTAGCTTTTGAGGAGCAGGAGAGGAGGGTACGGAGAGGAGAGTATGCCCCTCCTCCTCTTCTGTACACTCTCCTTCTCCTCCCCTCTCCTCTCATTCTCCTCCCTTCCCCCTCCCCCTCTGTCCCTTTTCAGTTGTGACGTCGCTTGTGACCATCATGACGTCACTCGTGAAGGTCGTTACCTTCGTCGTGACCTTCACGAATAACCATCGTGACGTCACTCGTGACCCTCGTGACATCACACGTGACGTCACGTGTGACGTCATTATGGGAAACGCCTCATAATGCAACGCGCGGCTACGCTGACGGCGACTGCGACACCGATCAAGCCGGAAACAGGCGCCTAAGAGCTGCGCTCTAATATCACGGTGAGGTCATTGCTCATGCCTTGCGATTTAAGGGAGGTAAAGCAAAGGGAAAGCCTTCAGCACCATTCATTTCTGACTAACGCGCCCGTTGTTGCAGCTACTACGACATATTAGTTCCAAAGCAAGCGACGTTCGCTCGCAGAGGCACCGCCTTGTTTCCCCGCCGTTCTTACTCTGTCGGTCACGTGACCTAGAATTCCTCCTTGGAGGGAAATGCGATTAACTTTTTAACGTTGTTAAAGTTAACAGGCTTCCAGGAAACTGGCCTTGGTGGCCAGGCACAGCGCAAGCACCACAACATTTTCACCAAACCAAAAAAATATTTTGTTTGGATCACAACATGATGTGTCTGGTGCCTTCCATCGCCTTCCACAAAGCGTACACGATCGCCTTCCACAAAGCGTCACAAGTTTTGTGATGTTTCCCCAACTTTAAAAGAACACAAAAAAAAAACAAAAAACGTCATGTGTTTTCCCGATGTGCGCCAACATCTTCGTCACCTGTGATTCGCTTCTACCCTGCCCGCTTCGCCTATATACCCAAATAAATTAATTTATGTACACTGACCAGTGTCAGCGAGCAGGCGCGTGCAAAATCTATCCCCGTCTCTTCCGAGCCGCCTCGGTGGCTCCGAGGCGAGAGCGCTGGCCTACGGATCCCCTTGTGGCGGGTTCGAATCCCGACCGAGGTGCCCGCAATCTGACGGAGGCTTATTGCGGATAAGGCGCCGTGTAATCGAGCTTTCGGTTGCACGTCAAAAGATCCCCAGGTGGTCCAAATTAATCCTCAGTCCTCCGCTGGGGCGTGCCAGATGCCCGTCGTTGGTTTGGCACGTAAAACCCCCAAATTTGACTTTGACCCGTCTCTTCCGCCATCTTAGAACTTCCGCCGCCCCGCCACAGGCATTGATTCGAGTTGCGAATTGGACGCCGGAGGCGCGTTGCCATTTTTGGCATTTGGCGCATCCCTCATCCAGACACGCACCGGTCTGCTGTGACTGCCAGTGACGCGCCGCCGTTTGCAAAGACGCTCCTCTTGGTCTACTGTAGACGACGCCGCCGCGCCGCCTCTGCAAACTAGATTTGCGGCCACGCTTCTTCATTCTTCTCAAGTGCGTCCCAGCATGCACCAGCTTGGCGGTACTTGTTTCTACAATCCTTCCAGCACTTTACACGAGAGTATGCGGCGCCTCGACCGATCATCACTGAGCCATAAAGAAAGAATTTCAAGGGATTTAAAACCCTGGTTTGTCATTCAATTTTTTTTAATGAATGAATTGTAAGAGTTTAAAAATTTTACAATAGAGAGGCGTGCCCCGGCACAATAAAAAGCTTCCGAAGAACATCTGCTAAGTTGGGCGCCGGCGCGCTCTCGACACTTCCAACATCTGGTGGTGGCAAATACTACCAGGTGAGCACAGTCATGACACTGTCTGCAACTGCCATCGCAAAATGCCCAAAAAGATTTTTTAATATTTTTAAATATTTTTTTATGAAGGTAAGTTCTTCCGTTATTATTTTTACTCATTATACCTAGCCTCACTTCTGTTGTAATTTGCGGCGTTATAGGATAAGAAACCAATATTTTCGAACCGCCTAAGTTCGAAGTTCAAAGCGTTAAGGCTGGCTCACACAGCCAAGTTTTCTTACGTTATGCTACAAAAGCTTGCGTACAAGTAACCGGGAGATCTGCGTTTCATATTAAGCGTGGCCACCAGTTCAAGGAGATAGCCTGGAACGTGACGTCCGATACACGAACGTTACGGTGACTGATTCGTAACTTAAAAAAGTATAAGAGAACGGTGCTCTGTGAACCATCCTTTGGTGAACATACTGTATAGTATCCCTTTGAGTTTTCCAGGTTTTAGGAAAACAAACAAACATAATAGATCTAGAACGAGTTGTGTCACAAAAGACAGAGCTTATCCCGACCAAACCAAATATATCGCAATGTCTGATCCCTTAAAAGTGGTATTGGTCGTAAGCAATAAAGCGGCGAAACATCACAATCTAATGTAATTACTGCCGTTATGAAAGATCTGAAATACTGAATTCGTACCTCCAATTATGTTGAGGGAGCATCGCTGCGCGCTTTGGAACAGCTGAATCGGCTCGTTGAAGGTTCCGTCGGCGTACTCGCTAAACTGATGGGCCAAAATGTCACCGCTCTCATTCAGTATGCGCAAATATCCTGTTAATGAAGGGGGTTCGAACGCTGAGGACATCAGCTTTCTCATTGTCTTTCTTGTTCCTCCTGACCTGGCAATACAAATAACGCAAAATAGAAGCATTTGAAACATGGCAGTTGGCGGCTGCCTCTATAAGAAGAAAACTTCAGTTTCCATTATTTTTCGCAACTTTCATTCTCAGTTAGCAAAACTACCATATAGAGTCGTTTAGAGCATAAATTCTAGTTAACTACTGTAAACGATTGAAAATAGGTATCACCCAAGTTGACTTCTTTGGGCCAAAAAATATTTTTTCGTTTATTTATTTATTTGAAAATACTGTCAGCCCTCTCTTGAGTGGTATTACAGAGAGAGTATCCCTTGTTTTGGATGACACATAAAAAACGCAAGCATAAGAAATGGACAATGTAGCAGACACTGCTGTTCGAACAAACAATGAAAACAAGGTACAACCTTGGCCCTCTAAATAAATAAAAGAATTGAACAAATTTGCCCACATAATTATTACAAATTGCACACTTAAAAGGCATCATTTTAAGCTCTTACTATGTTTACAGATTTGCAATGGAACCTTCAAAGAAGGGCACGGTTCCCAAATTTACAACATCGATGGGCAATGAATTCTAAGCCTCACAAGTTTTTGCAAAGACTGTTTAAAGGTACCTATTTTTTGTATGATTAAGGCTACTTGGTTGTTTGAGCTGGAGGGGAGAACGTATGTATTCGGGCTTAAATTTAGTTTGTCGTTGACCTTTAAATAAAGCAGTTTCAGACGTGCGACTTCTCGCGTTATTTGCAGAAATTCTATATTACTAGCTCTGAGCATTTCCGTTCGGGATAGTCTCTCTCTGTAGCTAGAGTGAATAAAACTGATTAGTAAATTAAGATCCTGAAAGCCTGAAGAAGCCAAGGTACCACCAAACGTGATATTCTTTGGCCAAAGTCTGGGTAATAGGAACTTAAATCCCCAAACAAAGGCCAGAGTCAGGCATAACTGCCCAGCTGTTCAGCTTTCATCAGTGTCTTTGAATTCTTAAAGAAACTAACTAAACCAATGTTTATATTGCAAAAAGTAATTACGAATGTACTAAACAAACACCGTCTGATGTAGATGTTAGGACTATTTTAAACGACCAGAGAAACATCTAGTTACTTTTTCTTTACCCACTTTCCTCACGAGTTTTCCAAAATAATCGCATTATATTATAATCAAAAACAACTTTGTTTCTTACTTGCAGGTAAGGCAAACAACCAATTCTGTCACCTTCCTTTCGTATATATAATAAACAGAATCCCAAACGTGGGATCATAAATATGGTGTAGTCTTTCTATTGTGATTTTTATGACACTATCACTGGGAACACCTAAACACTCCTAATCAATTGGCCTTAGAACACCAGTGTTGTGTTAGGACCACTTGGCTTGCGCCAACGCTAACGCGGATTTCTCTACGCTAGCGCTGAAAGTACGTCAAATTTAGTTACTAAATTAGCTGGAAAGTTCGCGTACTTAAAAACGGGATAATATTTTGCATAGTAAGGATAGAAACGACGTATAACGCGACCATAAACACGAATGTAACGCATTCTCTGAGGCACAGAGTGCTGAGCGAACCGAAGAGCTGAACAAGTCACCTATAATGGCGCCCGCGTCGCGTGATTCCAAGATGGCAGCGCCCATACAATGGGGAGGGGGGGTGCGGAAGGAAGAGGGGAGGTCTGCAGGAAATTCTAAAGGTTTGTCGGTTAGTTTTTATCCCAAAAGCACATACAAGAAATGACTGTTTATACTTACAAGGCCCGAAGATGGTTGACTCGTAACAACGGCTCGTTGAAGCTGTGGATGAAAGGCTTTCGGTGACTGTAACGGCTTGTGAGAAGCGCCTGCAGTTTTGAGTACTTTTGTTTTGTCAGTGGTTTATAACGTGCGCTTTAAATGTCCAGAAGTAAAGTTATACATAATACCTCAGCTGCGTCTGGGGTCTGACTGATGACAACAGGTGTCATTCCGATGTACATTTTGAACGTGTTGTTACCGTATATCTCTGAAGCATCCGCGATTTGACCGAAGGTTCCTGAAAAACGGACGTATTTCTTTCAGGAAAACATTCTAAATTGCGGGGGGAAACATTTAGTGTCAGTGCAATTTAGGTGTAGTGACGGCCAGTTAAGGAAACGAGGGGTGGGGGTTAACACCTTATCCTACGGCACATCCAATGAGAGTGTGGCATTAACTGATTAGAAAACTAAGCAACCAATCACGCAGCAAAAGGCGAGCACCCCCCGCGTTTCTCAAACTGTCATTGGGGGGACAAGTTTAATTCTTCGATACTCATTTTGCAAATATGTGTTCTTAGGTGCAAATCCATATACTGTATACTCCGATAATGAAAGGAAGAGAAGGGAGACGACAGAGGCTTTGCACATGCAACTGACGTTTATTGGCTTCATCCTCCCGCCCGAAGCTCAATGGGACGCACGCATAGGGTCTGGCAAAGCCACGTGGCCCCCCGCTTCCCTCAACCACCACCCTATTGCCCTTCCTCTTCGAAGCCGGTAAACGTTAGTTACAAGTGGAACGCCTGTGTCGTCTGTTTGTCCGCCATGTCCCTCTTTCGTTATCGCACTTTAGACACAAACATGCCGACCATCCAATAATATATATTCGCAGTTTTTGCTTGTGCTTTTTAGTATGAAACATCAGAAATAATAGCTTCCTGTACGCAAAACCCTGTACGCTATGATCGTGAAGTGTTCGCATATTGTTAACCGAGAACTTCCAGTATTTGTTTTGTTCCTTTTAAAGAACTACTCAAGCGCAAAAAAAAAAAAAAAAAAAAAACGTGTAGCGAGAAAAAAGTAAACCTAAACAACAGATAACTATTTTTTTGCTAATTCACATCTTGCGCATATAATTGTTTTTATGCTGAGAATACTGCTTCGTACCCCCGTCAACACATGACATTTTTTTTTTTTAAGTTAGCGGATTAAAAAGAAAGTGTAAAACAAGATGATTTTACGTGTTCTGTTGGCAATAAAAGTAATGAAATTGAACCAGGCAAATAAAGAGTAGACGTATACGTATAAACCTTTTTTTAAATACGTGTATTCTTAACACTTCAAAGACCGTTCGGAACTAATGCTCATAACTTGCGGTTCATTCGTTATCCAGGTAAGATATATTGGTAACTTATAATTCACGCATCGATGTAGCTCTGCCATTACTGTATCTAGATATCAACATGGCGATTTTTACATTTGGTTATACTTTTTCCGCTTTGATACATCTTTTGGGCTAATGAAGCGCTATAATAACATTTAACATGTAAAAGAAAATTTACACTCTTCAATAAACATCCGAATATTTGAGATACTCATTCATAAAAAGACTCGACCCCAAAGCGCTGTGTCTGATTGTTAACTTATCACAATCTCTGTTCTCAGGCTCCAACTGACTATTTAAAACCCACAGCAGTGAAAAACCGCAGATGTAGGCCTTAGACAGACTTTCAATCAATCTTTTCTTTTAATGTTTCTTGTTCTATATAAGATATTGCTGAAATATATTTCGTGTAGATAGCCACACAAATATCTGTAGTTGCCCTGAACAACTACTACAGTACTTTGTTTTGTTTGTTTTTTCCGCAGAAATTAACTACGCGTTACCGATCGCTCAGTCTCTGCGCAAATGTAGCGCTATATACACTCTAAAAAAAAGCCTGTGCGTCTACTTTCCCGTACAACATTCCGAGAGCCAATCACCGCAACTTACTGAGGCAGCGCAGCGAATGGCGATGCCGAAACATGTGTTTAGACCAAAACAAAACGCAGGCTGAGTTGTGACATCAAGCAATGCAAAACGTCACTCTTGCTTTGCTTAATGTCACAATTCAGACTGCGTTTTTTGGTCTGAACATATGTTTCGGCATTGTCATTCGCTGGGCTGCCCCCGTAAGCTGCGGTGATTAAACCTCCAAGTGTTGTGCGGGAAAGTAGACGCACGGGCTTTTTTTAGAGTGCGGACCTCGAGCTCATGGTTTGGACGGAGACTCTGCGTTCGGCGACGCTTATAGTTTATATGTGTGGCGAAAAAACAAAGCAAAAACACTATACATGATTTGGGGGGACACCCTCTACTTGGTACACATGCTCTCACTTAAGAATTGCAAGCGGGTCTTTATAGAAAGACACATCGAATTTCACGCGAGAGAACGTGATAAAAAGGCATAATAGATTTCATATAGCTCACCTGTACTGGCCGTTTTGAGTCCATGCCCGGCTCTCCTTTTCACTGTGGAGGATACCAGTGATCGCCACGAAGACTCCAGTATCCCAGGTCCCGATATAAACTTCAGCGTCCTCCAAATTCTTAACCACCGCACGAAAGGCCAAACAATCGACACGCACAAAAGTAGCGCACAAAGCAATCCGCCAACACAGTTGAATTCTGACATCAGGTCGAGCTTTGGGCGATGCATTCCTCGTGAGTTTCGAACCGTGTCCCGCGAGTGGTTTGGCGAGATTCGAACCTAACGCAGAGCGAAGATACTACCTCATTCAACACTGATTTCAGCAGAGTTCTGTGTTGAAGGTATAGCACTCACGGTTTTTGCGTTTCTGTCCCAACATGAGTATAAAACTGTGACATTCTACTTGAAGTATACAGAAATACTGGAGGGGTGAGGATTCTGAAAACATTATGCCACAAAGCAAAATAAATAAATAAATAAAAAAATAAATAATGATAATCTCGTGTGTGCGTTTTTGCTAGAGATGAAGTCTCTATATTATCTAGTGTCATTTACGTGGCAAGAATTAAGCAATCAGTAATACATCTTAATTGCTCGTTCCCGACTGAAAAGAAAACAACCACTTTTGGAACTTTCCCGGTCGCGATCAGAAGACAAGGCCTGTTTCGGCTCGCTCCTGTGAAGCATAAACACAATTCTTTTGTTTCGCCATTTGCTACTTGGGGTTTATCTGTACTAGCTCATCTTCGGGGAAACCATTAAAAGTATTTTGCAAGAAGCATTATTTAGTTCTTGGCGTGGAACAATGGGTGTCGCGCGCCTTTTATATATTTGGCGTACACAAGCTCGTGGGCGTTTCCGAAACTTCTGACAACTGAGTTTGGGGACCTTGTGCCATAATTGGCGTCACTCATTACTATGTTACAATTTAGATGGTGGCTATTTTCTTAAACACATACTTGTATGTGGCATGAGCTACAGCGAAAGAAAAGTACTTAATTGGCTTCTTTGGCGGTGTAAGCTGCGTGTTTTGATGTGGCATTTAACTGATATTTCGAGGAGGGGTTTTGAGCTTGGCAATTAAAGTTAAAGCGTGAACCGCGTATGTAGCAACTCAACGAGTAACAGTGACGAACCAGGCACTTATTCTTCCTTTCTTCTGCACATTAGAAGATACGTTGCAGATACTGCTTTTTGTTAAATAATTATCACATTGACGTTTCAAATGTTCCAAAACTGAACTTTACTGAATCAGAGTGGCTATATACGCGCTACTTCACATACTGCTTGAAATTCATTGCCTATTACGCGATTAAAACATAAAAAAGTAAATAAAAAAGCACTTCTTGTTGTGAATGCGAAAGCATGAATGTCGCTCTTCCGTTCCCTTTGTTCGTCTGCGGTGTACTGGCTTGGACGGCCATGTTTCGCTGCTGCCGAGGTTGCGACCGTCGACGATATAGATGCCTCAGGCGCAACCATGTTCGTCTGTGCCGAGAGAAGCAGAAGCGACCGCAGCCACCTTCCCCCCCCCCCCCCCCTCTCCAGCAACGCCTGATACGAGAGCGGCGTCCAAACGCGCGCTCTCGTGGAGCGTCCGCCAACGGCTATCAAGGAGCCGTTTTGCTCAGCCAATGAGTGAATGGGTATTTCTTTGGCGTTTTCTCGCCGTTACAGACGCCGCAGGCTCCGCTCCATGGGATAGTTGACGCTTTCGCATTAAAAAATAAAGCGTATCAAGCAGGCACGTAGCCAGGGTTTTGTTTCGGGGGGGGGGGGGGGGGGGGGGGGGGGGCCGCCCATGACAAAGTGCTGCATGAGGGGGAGGGGGAGAGGAGGTCCCAGCAAAATGGAAGATTTCGGGGCTGGGGGAGGGGGGGGGGGGGGGGGGGGGGCTACGTGCCTGCTATGAAGTTATGCGGCAAAATAAATGGGAGGCTGTTTTTCGTGGCGTCATGTCACACTTTCCTCCATTATGCACATTCAGGGCTAAAAAAAAATGATGAGCTTGAAGCTTTCGGTCATTATTGTTGCACTTGCTCCAAGCCCTTACCACCTTGGTTTCTGACTCTTAATTTGAGACTTCTGTGCAACAAGTTTCCCAACATAGAAGAAAGAAAATAAAACGTGTTCTTTTGCGTATTTATGTACCGTTGTTTTAATCTTTGTCCCGCTCTTTGAGACAGTCTGGTTCGGTGCCATATTTTGGTAGGCAGAAGTCCTTCATCGGTGTTTGGGATGTTCCAAGGTAAGGGGCTCTATACGGAGTGCCTTATTTTATTTCTTGTGTCCAACATTCTCCGGCACGGTGTTTTGAATCTTCCAACTTAAGGAGTCGTATAGGAGTGCGTTATTTAGTTAATGTGCACGACATTCCTCGATTTATACATATATATTTCCATATTTAACACCATTTGTACACTTATCTTTAAAATGTTGAAAATGGTGCAATCCCCGGGTAGTCATTTAGTGTGCGACAATTTGTTGCCTAATGAAAAAATTTTAGTATAAGTTTCATTTACAATTAGAAAGAAGTATAAGACTTGTACCACACCTTTAAAAGTAACTTTTTCTCGACTGTTGACTGTGCTAGACACGACAATGAAATGCGAGCGTTAATGTTATTTTAGATCAACGCGTTCAGCTGCCATTCTACAGTTACTTTAAGAAACGCAGGGCATAGCTTATTATGTTCCTGCTTCACGCTTTGTAATTCTTGTTTTTTTATGTAAATTTTATTGGTTTATGCAGCAATTTGATTGACTGGAGAGCAATATTAAGATGCCGGTGATTCTCCCCGCCTTGTGTTTGTTCTCAGTAACTGTAGCAGTGACGAACGAAATTTCATTTGGCAACGCATGAATCGCTCTCAAGTACAAAAGTAAAATACCTTTTCAGTTTTCTTTTACCAATTTCATTCAATTAACTTACTACTCGCGATGGGGAATGGGAACATAGAAGTTAGAAGGGGGCGGGAAATGCTCAGCTATATCCTGCAAAAATCACGACAGTCATAATCAGCTTCTCTACCACCTCTCTCTCTCTCTCTTTGTGTCAGTTTAATTGAGTTGCTGAAACGAGTCCATCTGTGTTCGTCTTCGAAGCCACACTTGGTGTCCTCCTCTGGCTCTTATGATTACTTCGAACGTCACCTTGATCTGCTCCAGCGGCCTCGTGGATTCAATCGTGAACTTGGAAAGTACCTTCGCCAACAGTAGCTTGGATTCAACCGTCGCGAATCTCTGCCCTGAAACGATGGAAGCAAGCCATTCCCTGTCAATTCGGTTTTGGGTTACATACGAAAATGTCTTTGACAGTTTATCGATAATGAAACACAGGAAGGAGGCAGACAGACAAGAAGGTTATCTCTATTCTCGATTGGTGTTTGCGCTTTTTTCAACAGCGCACCAGCCTCCTAGGCGGTGGAGGTTGCGATTTATCTTAGTTGGAACTACGATTTCTTTCATAAACTTTCGCAACTTTGGTGACTTTGCTTTAATAGCTAAAATCAAACAACACAAATACAAATAGGTGCAGCCCGCAGTGTCTTAAAATACAAAATGGTAATGAACATACGGGAACTCTGCCAAAATGCACAAGGATCGCGGGGTATGTCCGTTTTTCGTTTCCCAAAAATAAAACCATCGGTTTGCCGAAAATAAACCATCATGAACAACTTTCCCTTAGATTATGTTTCTAAACTCCCCTAATTTCTTATTTTTCGTGTAGTTTCTAGATGTTGCGTTTCACATATTGCCGTGTTACAGAGGTATTAGTAACACACGACATAATGATCACACAGAGAATAATTGCTTCGTTGGTTTATAATAACGAAAGTCATGTCCTTGACTCGCGTTTAGAACTGTAGGTCATCCTTAAACAAAACAATACTAAAACATGAGGCAGGTTTGTGTTTATTGTCGATGCGAAGTATGGAATAGAAAAAGAGTGATAGCAATTAGAAATGAAAATCTGCAAAAAATTACTCATTTGTGGTTGCTATATGTTTCTCGTTTTGTTTATCCCCCGTGTTCTTGCATCGTTATTTTAGTGAGAAGTGTTGCAAGAACGTTTATGGCAGTGACTGCATTCTATTAAGTTATTATTAGTGGGTGATTACGGGAATTAAGAACTCAGCACACCAAGACAGTTCTTTGGGCCTCCAGAGAATGGAATGTAGCTGAAGGGGTGTCGCCTTGTCGTCTCGTGACCCATAAATCGATCCGGAACAAACTCTTCGGGATTCTTGAAGTGCTCCGGATTTCTGTGGAGGCTATATATATTAACGAAGCACGACACGCCTTTTGGTATCTTGTAGCCATCTGAAAAAAAAAAAGGCCAGAACAAAATTATCTAGGTCGGCGACATGGTGACTTTACGTTGGCCAACAGGTTTTGCACCTGTTGGCAAACGTAAGTTCTTCCAACTCTAAAAATCTCAATTTATCGGTATAACCATGTGGAGCTCGAACGTCCAATTGCCTAGGCGAACTGTGATGGAAAGGACGTGTCCATGCACACATTTGGTAACATGGCCTGCCCAAGGTTGTTTTTGTTGGCCGCCTGCCGCGCTGTCTAGCAGCCGATTGAGGCTGTTCCCATAGCTACACCTAGTACAGGAAGGTTTGTTGTTAGTCGGCATATATTTTTTCTGCGTATCTTCTACTCTTAAGTTGCTTGAAAGTGAGTCTAATTCACGTAAAAAAAAACGTTTTATAGGAATACGTTCATATCTTGTCTTATTACATTAAATCGCGTGCTCGCAGTGAGAAGGTACTTTCACAGCTATCACACGCATCAAAATACACTGTTTTAACTACGAATTTTTGAAAATAGTTTTATTTGAAAGGATACTTTCACCACTTTTGATTGTAGGAATATTTAAATTAGATGTTTTGCGTGAAGCATAATTAATCTAGAGATTCTACAATTGCTTGTCTTACCTATTTCAAGGTCATGGTCCAGTACCCTCCCAATGTACGGAAATGACGGATACAGTCTCAGGCCCTCCTGTAATCAGTAGGTAATATATTTTTTCCCATCCGGAATCAAGCATCTACGGTGCGGCTTCTATAAAGGGTAATTTAAATAACAAAAATATAATAAAATATAGTAATAGCAACAACATAGCCCTTCTCACCTTTAGACAGCACTCGAGGTACTTCATTCGTCTAAGGTCATCGGTCGTAATCTCTCGATCTGTGTCCCTCCCTAATATTTCGTCCAGTTCATGGTGCACCTTTGCCTGTATCTTCGAATTAAGCCCAAGTAGATAAAGGGTCCAACAAGTGGCTGATGTGGTTGTGTCGTTTCCCTGAAAGGGAGTGGCACAGTTGACAAGATGAAGACATTCTTGCAATACACATGTAGTCAATGTATTGCTCCTAATTTCGACGGGAGGACGGACACCAAAAAGCAGCCTATTTTTCCTTGGCTTGTTAATACCTGGTTCTATGCACTAATTATTAGCTCTCCGTATATGCTTGTTGGCAGCCATCTTTTATATTATTGGATGCTTCAATATTTGCCTAGATTGATTAAATTGTCGCGTAAAGTTTGACAATCGTTGTCAGTCCAAACAACAGTAATTTTCTAATTGTTTAGTGCAATAAAAGGATGCCAAAAAATTAATTAAAACAGAGGATAACAAATCTAGCTGTAGGGTATACTGATCGGGCTACAAATTTTTCAGGACTTCCATGGAGCAAGGTTGAAACGCAGCAAGGCTGAAGGAAATGTAATTTAATATTTTTTCACGATACATGAAGGAACGGCCTACACTAGAATATTGCATTATTTGGAGTCTTTAAGAGTATCATATATATACTTATTTTAAACTTGTACGTCCATCAAGTTTTTTTTTTTCGCTTTGTTTTAAATACGAAAGCACGAACTGTCCAATGGAGCGCAGCCGGCACTGTCTGTACCTGCGAAAAACGGCACCTAAATTCAGGCTGAGCGAAACGACCAATAAATTCCCATGGGCTGCCACGAGAAATCATTGAGGCGAGGGAAATTGGAAAATTGGGGGAAAACTGTGGTCAGCACTCCTTCACTATTTTTATCCGATAAGGAATGTTGCTTTTTAGATACACAATGACAGCGCTTAAAGGTGGCTAAGGAGCACGTGGCGTCCATGACAGGTTTTTTTTTTTTTTTTGGTTGTTATGACGTTACAGCATTTATACTTGATGTTAGCACGAATAAACTTTAGTTGTAAGTCAGCGCTTTGTTCGTCTACATTCTTGTTCTTGTCCATGGCCTTGCGCTGTTTTAATTTTTAATCAAGTTTATATGCATTTTTGAACTAGTATTGTCATGCGTATACGCTTTATACACTTCTGAGTGAAACTCTGCACCTGACTCTTAAGTATATCTTGAAGCAACTTAACACTATTTCCTTGAGCCCATATCTATATGCTCCTGTGCGCTTCTGCGTTTCCTAAAGCTACCGCAAATGTTAATGAGCATTTTCTTCCATACGTATCAAACTAGTTATCGGTTTAATTCCTGCTGATACTCAATAACACTGTTTATTTATTAATTTATTTATTTATTTATTATACCCTCAGTGCCGAAGCAATTTGATCTCCTCGGAAAAAAAAGGGCGGTCGATTGGCTTTATGTAAATAAATCGGTAGCAGAACATTACCCATAATAAAACAAGGGTAGGAAATGTATACACAGAGTAGGAAGACGGTACTTGAATGTATACCCTACTAGTGTATGAAAGATATCCATGATATTCTATATACATACAAAATAAACACAACCTAGCGAGTGATCTTGTTTTGTATTCTACACGTTAATATGTAAGTGTCATTTGCCGTCTTTTGAAAGTGAATGATGTATTCTGTTTACTGCAATAATAGTTGATTTTTTACTTACCGCTCCAAACACCGTGTCAATGTCTTTTTTGACGTCCTCCTCGGTATACTTGTTGTCTTGAAGATGCGCCCTCAGCAGAAGGTTCATCAGCGTTGGATCTGTTCTCGACATCTTAATTTCATCATCTTGAAAATCTGACTCTCGCATGGCTTCGATTTTTTCGAGCTTTTCTTTACGCTCCAGCATCACCTTGCAAGAAAAAGATACGAAGACAACAGATTGAAAAAAGTATTCGTAAACTTCATTCTTAATTCCAGTTTGTGTTCATGCTATGCATAAATCAGTGTGTCGAACCGAAAAAAATACGGGTTCGGTTACGGTTACGGTTCAGGTAAATGTATTTTGTTCCGGATCAGTTCCAGTTCGATTAATTCGATCCGCGAACGGGTTCGCGAACCGGTTCGGGGCGCTGAACCGGTTCGCGAACCGGTTCGGTAAATGACAAATTGCAACATCAAAATAAATTACAAATAAAACATCTGAAATCAATCAGCACATACGAAACGGGATACATCGTAGTGTAAGGCTCAAGGATTTCTACCAGGAATGGTTTCTTTATGTGCACTCAAAGGTTACCTCACCGACATTTACGCATTCGGACTTCATCTAATTGGGTTCGGCGCAGTAGCTGTAAAATCCGCGACCTCCTTACAAACCCACTCACAAGTAGAACTCGCTAACTATCCCGCCACCTCGGCGTGTAAGCAATTGAAGGAACAGTGGGGAGAAAATACAGCTTTCTTTATTTGAACTAGCCTTCGGTAACTCAAATTCGACCCTTAAAGAAGTTTTCATTAAACAAGATACGGAATATGAAAAACACTTCACCGAACGCAACGCCAGGAGGACGTAATAGGATAAATATTAAAATAGAAGAGTTCGCTGTCTCACAAATATGTTAGCTTCTAAGTGCCTATACGAAACCGGATGCATTATTATCAAACTCCCCAGCCTTTTCTTTTCACATTTCGATGGAAGCAAGCTTCAAGAACTCGCGCGTTCTAGAAACGTGTTATGAAATGAGCACACAGCAGCATTTAGGATTTACGAGATTGTAGAAAAATAAAATTCCGTGACGCGATATTTTTTTTTTTTTTTTTTTTTTTTTTGCACAGGCTTTTATTTCTCTTTCTTCCGTGCAAGCCGCGACCACCGCGATACTGGTTCCTATGTCAAGATTCATGGATGCAGCGTTTGTCAAGATTCATGGATGCAGCGTTGATATTCCTAAGACTGAGTGGAGAAGAAAAATATGTAAGCGAGGTGTCTGTCACTTGACGGCACTTAAAAAACAAATGGCATTGATAGCACATTCATTGTCAACAGCGCGTGGCCGAACCGTTTTGACATGAGCCGGTAACCGTTATTTTTTTTCGGTTCAGTTCCGGTTCGGGTTCATCGCGATAACAATATAACGGTTCGGGTTCGGGTTCAGTTCCGGAAAAAATACCGGTTCGGTTCCGGTTTTCGGTTCGGTTCGGTTCCGGTTCGACACCCTGGCATAAATATATATGAGCGACGTCAACTCGAGTTCATCTATAGGGAGAACCCGTTTGCGAAGTGTTGAATAATTTGTAGGATATGCCAGCTGAACGAAGGAAGAAATATGCAGAACAGAGAGAGTCACAAGGAACAAACACACACACTCCGCTGATATGCACACCTTGATTATAATGCAATTAAATGCAAAGGTGAAAGTGAGCTGGACAAGGATGACGCGAATAATCCCTGGAGTAGAGGAACAAGGGGGACAAAGGACAAACATAAATCTGTGTACCTTTTTGTTTCTTGTAGCCACTCATCTACGACGAAAGCGCGAATATCTGTCAGTGTACAGGAGTAATAAAATAAAGGACAAAGTTCAGCTCCGCTTTGCATCTAAAATATTAAACGCAAGAATTCAACGAACTTAATTATCTATTATTTTTGAGAGACACTTTGTTTCACGCTTTTTTACCTTCATCACCTCGTTGCACTATCAATTATTTTTATTTAATCTTTATGCGTTTTTTGATGTTATATTATTCAACATTGTGATTGCCTGAAGCTGAGCAGGTGGAGTGACATTAAGCAATGCAAGCGTGACATTTTGCATTGCTTAATGTCACAACTCAGACTGCGGTTTTTGGTCTAAACATATGTTTCCGCACCGTCATTTGCTGAGCTGCCTTCGTGAGTTTCGGTGATTGGCTCTCCGAGTGTTATGCGTGAAAGTAGACTTACAGACATTTTTTAGTGTGTGCACTGGAAAGAGTGCTTCATTTTCGGGTTTTATATACAGTGATTTGCAAGCCTAAAGTTACCTAAAATATGTCGCCGTTTTTTTTTTTGTTTTTTTTTTAATGTTGTGTTGGAAGTTAAAACCGTTCCACGGGCTCCCACTGCACTCTAAAAAAAGCCCGTGCGTCTACTTTCCCACACAACACTCGGAGAGCCAATCACCGCAACTCACGAAAGCAGCTCAGCGAATGACGATGCCGAAACATATGTTTAGACCAAAAAACGCAGTCTGAGTTGTGACATTGAGCAATGCAAAACGTCACGCTTGCATTGCTTAATGTCACAACTCGGACTGCGTTTTTTGGTCTAAACTTATATTTCGGCATCGTCATTCGCTGAGCTGCCTACGTAAGTTGCGGTGATTTCCTCTGCGAGTGTTGTGCGGGAAAGTGGAAGCACGGGCTTTTTTTAGAGTGTGGCTACCATTTATATACAATAATTTACCGCTCCGATAATAAAGCACTTGCTTTGTCTGCTTTTTCATTACTCGGAGAAGAGTTTTTACTTTGACGGGGCTCAGATTACAGTTCGCTTTTGTAGGATTTTGTGGAGGGTGTCGTAGCACGGCTACACAGGGCCTTACAAAATGCGTGAATGATTCGATTTCCTTCATGTTTTTCTTGAAGAGTTTTCCTTCGGACGTATGGTCGTAGATGAACTGCAGCCAGAGCCATGGTCTCAGTGCCCTGAGACCGACGAGAAGAGAAGCACTACAAAAGAGAAAACGCCATGAGTTTCAGACGGGAAATGCCTAATCTGAGAATAGAGGGCTTTCGTCAAAACGACGCGATATGTAGATTAAGAAAATATAAAAATATACAAGTTGAAATGTACCACCTTGTAGCCAATTCGATGGACTGCATTGTGTGACTAATCTTTCAACGACTATTTAAGTAAGTGGTGAATGTAATTTTTCGGAAAGTTTTAAACAAATTAAACATTTACTCGACGCAAGCGTTTTCTTTTGAGAGACACAGCAAACGTGTAGCCAATTTGATGGAATACATTATGTCGCAAATTTTTCCACAAATATTTAAATAGGCGTTGAATGTATTTTTCTTGTAACGTTGAAACAAATGAGACATTTTCTTTACTCGACACAAGCATTTTCTTTCGGTAAACACAAGAAGCGTGAAAACATTGTATATGCAGGGTGTCACAAAAAAAATTTACAGGGTTTTTTTCACCGCAAAGATAAACTAGGTATCGCCGAAGCTGATTCTCAACCCAAAGGTAGCACTAGAGGTCACAACCAGATGCCAAAGTTTCAGCCTGACGCGATACTTTATTCAAAAGTTATAAGTGATTTTCTGAAAATTTCATTGGGAAAATGGCGGCCGGCGGAGTTTTCGGATACATGTGACTACATGTGACAACCGAAAACGGAAAAAAATGGGCTCCATTTTCCCATTGAACTTTTCAGAAAATCACTTATAACTTTTGAATAAGGTATCGGATCGGGGTGAAACTTTGGCATCTGGTTGTGACCTCTAGCGCTACCTTTGGGCGGAGAATGGGCGTTCGGCGATGCCTAGTTTATTTTTGTGGGGAAAAAAAACCTGTAAATTTTTTTTTGTGACAGCCTGTATATATACTTTTTTTGTGGGCAGGGGTAAATCTCTGAGTTAGTGTTAATATTAATTGGAACGCTAAAGTTTTATTGTAACAAAACCCAATCCCTGCCACTTTGAGAAACGCACTTGCGGAACGTAGTAAATCAATTTATGCGGCCCAAGAAATTGACGGCGGAGTATAATTAATCTTCTTATATCGCGGCACTGTTAATTAACGCGAATGATGGACCGGTACGTGTCCTCAGTTTAATCAGCTTTAACAAGATATTATCGTCTAGAGAGATGTCTAAGCGTATTCACAACCCCCCTTATTTTTTGTGCGTGTTTTTTACTAAACAAATATTGTATAATATTTGATCCGTGAATTTGAGAAAACGGAATAGTCCATAATAGTCGTTGCCAGCTTAAGAAACGCAGGGCGTGGCGAGTCCCGTGCATCTAATTATCGCCCCTCAGCCAATGAGGTTGCGGCATTCGCCGGCAAGAACGTCGAAGATCCAATCAGAAAGCAAGAAGCGTGAACGTACCCGTGATAGGCCACGGCTTAAGTTTCTGAAAAGGTGTTCCCGCTACTTTCGGCCACCGTGATCGGGGGAGAGAAATACTTCCGGTTTTTTTGCTTTGTTTACCTCTCTTAGTTTTCTAGCGAGGAATTAATTGCGTGAGAGGTACGCCCTAAAATTGCCCCAATGAGGTTTTATTTTTATTTATTTTTAAGTGGCCGACGCGCACCGGCAAGAACAAAACCCCTCTGGTGCAGTTTCTCGAGACAAGGGACGCCGCCGAAAGGGCGCCGAGCTTAAAGGGGTCGCAGGACGCAGACAGTGCTCGCCTACTTCGTTGTGCTGCCGACAGATGACGCAACGTGACACAGGAGAAGATGCGGCGAGATGGCGACTCGACAGACCATCTCCGTGAAACGATAGATGCGAACCGGGTCCTTTACGGTACGTAAAAATGCAAGGTGACACGGAGCCCTTGGGAAAGATACCTTGAATACCAAAGCAAACAATTAAAAGCATTCGACAACTCTCTGGAGATCGTCTGCTGGACCGACACGGCGATCCCTGCAGGGAAGCTCGGCGGGTATCTTTGACGCCTGGGGGAGGTAAGTGCTCATCGCCGATGCTTTGCCGCTCACAAAGTAGTTTAACGCGTTTAAGGACTTTGTAGGTTTTTTGGTCGCTCTCAAGGATCAGGCGGCTCGAATAGGCAGTTGTCAAGATGCGCCCATGATATCGTCGGCAGACTTTTTATTAAATGCGAAAACATTAACTATCCAATGGAGCGGAACCCCGGCGTCTGTAACCGCGAAAAAAACGCGAAACAAATGTCCATTCTCCCATTGGCTGAGCGAAACGGCTCCTAGATACCCACTGGCGGCCACTTCACGAGAGCGCGCGCTCGGCCGCCGCTCTCGTGTCAGGCGTTGCCGGGGGAAAGGGGGGGGGGGGGGAGGGGGAGGTTTTGCACTACTGCAAAACCTCAGAAAACACTGAGGTTTTGCAGTAGTGCCAAGAGAACTCCGATTATGTTTTTTATATAGTGGTACAACTTTCATAAGTTGTACCACACGGCTATCAAGCCGCTCGTGAAAGTTGGTACCGCCGGTTTGACGTCAGTGTGCTGTATGTCGAACTGAAGTTTGGAGGTGTATTTTATGGGACAAAGGGTGTAAGAATACGCCCTTTTTTTCTGAGAGTTTAGTTCGCCTCTCGCTCTCGGTTGGTGAAGAAAAAAAAATATTATACACAACGACCTCCGTCAAACCGAGAAAAACTTTTTGCGCATATCATTACAGCTTTTTTTTTTCGTTTTTAGAAGGGTTTAGTGGCAAACATAAAGAGGAATATCTCGGAATTTCCCCGAACAGCCTCTGTTTGCGAAAATTCTACAAGAGACACTCTAAAAATGCCCGTGCGTGTAATTTCCCGCTCTGAGAGAGCTAATCACCGCAACTTACGGAGGCAGCTCAGCGAATGACGATGCCGAAACATATGTTTAGACCAAGAAACGCAGCATGAGTTGTGACATTAGGCAATTCGAAACGTCACGCTTGCATTGCTTAATGCCACAGCTCAGACTGCGTTTTTTTCGTTTAAATATATGTTTGGGCATCGTCATTCGCGGAGTTGTGGTGATTGGCTCTCTGAGTGTTGTGCGGGAAAGTAGACGTACGGGTTTTTTTTAGAGTGATGAGAGATTTTTGGAATATACGCTTGCCTTGAAGTTTTGAATATAAACATATATCCTAATTACAGTAATTAAAACATATATTCCAATGTTTAGTTTACTATAAGATTAACGACTACGATTATCATTCCACCTACTGTCGACCAGAGAACATAACCGATTGCCATGGACATCTTAGGAAACGGGAGGTGCGGTTTATTACGATCACGCTTGTTGCTTTGTGATTTGTGTTCTTATCATGTTCTTATCGGTTCTTAACATGTTTTTATCGGCTGGCGATGCAATCCTATTGGCTGAGGAACAATAATAAGATACTCGGGACTTGGCACGCCCGGCGTTCATTACGGTTTCGGTGACCATATGTACAATGACAAATTTCGCGTACCCTTTATAACTTTTTTTTTTAACTGATAAAGCCTAATTTGGACCATCCGGTAAAATGAATAGGTTAGGGAATGGTTTCAAAACCTCAAGTAGATCCTCAAATACAATTTCTAGAACACTTTTAGCATATATTATTAGTGTTGGTTTTCAAATTAAGTTGAGCAACGAATCAAAAATAGCATACATACCTATTGAAGGAGCTCATAAAGTTTAAGTTTTTGCCCTCTTGGACGTGAAGCTTGGCTCCCATCGTGACTTCTGGAAAATACAATGACTTTTCTTTTTTTCTTGTTTTGTAAATGGAATGAACTTCGTGTGATCACTCAACTAAATATGCAAAGAGCTCAACTTTGAGCGTAACACACTTCTCATTGCAACTACGTACTAATTATAAAAAAATAAAACAAAGATGAAAAGAATTGTTACCTCCGATGATGTCCAGGGCGCATTTCTGCGTGTTCTCGAACAGTCGAATCGGTTCGCTCGGAGCCTTGTCGACGAAGGAACAGAGGCGGCGGACGAGCAAGTCGGCATTCTGGTTGAAAATGGCCATGTAGTTCTCCAGAATTCAGAAATGAAACGCCGGGGTCATCAACTTCCGTTTGAAGCGCCATATGCTGCCGGTGCTGAACGGAAAAAAACAATCGGTAATAGGAAGTTTTTGGCACATCTTACCGGTAACTCTGATAACGATGCATGATAAAGGTACAATGCATGCGTCAAGGCATCGGTGGACTATCGGGTATGCAAAAACCTTCCCCAGCATTAGGGAGTTAGTATACCGTTCAGATACCTCCGGTAACAAAATCCGATATTGCGCTGACGGCTTTACGCATTCGTCATATGGTTATCGGGTATCGTTATGGGAGGTATCGAAACTATTCAGTCTAAAGTGTTCTTCTTTCTGTTTTTTTCAGTGTAGGGGGGCAGAGATAAAGGCATAGTGCCTGACAAAGCCTCTTCCCCCCTCCTTTATTACAGTTTAGCAACTCAATATATACAATTCACAAAATAAGTAACAGCTATTGAACAAATATAAAACAACTATGGAACAAATATAACATAAATCTGGAACAACTATGGAACAAATATGGAGCAACATCAGACATAAAGAACAACAGTCACGCCACTATTACAAGATTTAACAAAATGCACAAAAACTTTGGGATTGAGCTCTCCAGGCATCGCTTTTGAAAAGAGATCTATTTTACGAGAACAAAAAATTAACAAAAGGAACAGTTCACGTAAATGACATTAGTTCGAATAAGCTGTATCGTGAACACATCCTAAACTGGGGAACATATTATACAATTAAGACTGTAATGTCGTTTAACGCCAGCATCTTTCTGGAATGTTTCAAAATCTATGTCTCTATTGGTTCTGTTTAAAGTTCTAGTTATCTGAAGAGTTAAGGCTTGCCAATCGCAGTTCGTCCTTATGGCTGGCATATTTCGCTTTGGATCTCGTGATGTGCATGGATTCAAACTATGTGTTGGTGCGGTAAAGTTTGTTGATCTGCATCCATTGCAAGAGTTTGAAATAATAGATCTGGTCTGCCTTCAGCATATTATTTTTGGTAAAAAGTGACTGTGTGCGTAGATTCCTTCTATCCCCTTTATAATTTTCGTATATACTTAATATCTTATTCCGTATTAGGATTAACTTATTGTAGTTTGTACCAGTCGGTTTTCCCCAGACCATAATGCCACAGCTCATTTTGGATCAAAAAAGGGAGTAGCACAATATCGTCTGTTTAAGCGTAGTAGGCAGTAAATGTTGTATTTTAAATATACACCCAGTTACTCGGGATAAGTCAGCTTTGAGTCTATTGATATGCGTACGGTATTCCATGAAAGGTCCTCACCATACCATACGACCGAAAAATTTTGATCTGTCCCTTGCTCCAGTACCGTTCCTTCGAATGTTATGTAGACAGTGCTGTCATCTCGTTTATTTACTGGCTTAAAAATTACATATTTTGTTTTATTTGTATATTAATATAAGCGATAGAGTTCCAACCACTTGGATAGCTTCAACTGATATTCATTAGCTTGTGTCTCTACACCTTTTTTTTTGTTAGGCCAAAAAAGAAAACACTTGTGTCGTCAGCGTACATATTAAGTTCTGGCAGAATTAGTTCCTGGTTTTTATTGTCATAGATGAGTCCTTTATATTGATTCTGTATTGAAACCCAAAGCGTTTGGCAAGAACCTGTTCCTGCAGGTTGCAAGTTTTGCTCATCTTTTAAAGCCGTCTGTCAAAAAGCTTGCAAAAGCCATAAGCGAAATCGCAACGATTTCGCTTATGACTTTTGCAAGCTTTAAATACGGCACCGTACTAAAAAAAAACAAAAAAAAAAACAGGAAATCCACTCGGGCTTCGCAGCTCTGCATGGCCGTTTCTTATTTACTTAATTTACATCTTCTGGAAAGGAAAAAAAAAAAAAAAACGATAATGGGATCGTGGGAAGCGTTCGCCAGGCGGCAGCTTCTTGGAATTCTTAATTATTGTTAGTGTTGGTTCTGCCTCTGTAAACAGGTTGATGCCCTGAAAAGCAACGTTTTTGTTTCTAATTTATTATAACGCCACAGTTTATAAAAATATCGGATGTGTATCTTATTGGTGTCACCTTCAGGGATAAAAAAACCCTTGAACTTCACTTTTCTTGAACACGACCTTCTTTTTTAGTTTCTTAATCGAGGGCCACTAATAAAAAGAAGCAAAAGCTGTCTTTAATTGTGTGGAACAACTATATTTAAATACTGCGTGAACCAACTATACAACACAACATATATAACTACAAAGAATGTACAGAACGCTGCCTTTCTTTTGCAAGCATTTGTCGCAGCGATTTCCGGGTTACCAAACATATGCCATATTTTCTCCAGCCTACCTGGTCTGCAGGTACACAAATACTTACGCCAACACCATGCTTTGTTTTCCTAACCAGCCCGCCAGAAAATCGTACAGGAATGGCTTCCGGAGGTTTGTAGTGCTAGAAAGCAGCGCCTGGAGTAGGACACGAACGGAGTACATGCCACTTATATTATAATGAATATTTAATAAAAAAAAGGGTATGGAATCAACGGGAGGCGTACCTCTGTCGCGTCCGGTGTGTGAACGACGACCAATGGTGTCATACCAATGTATACTTTGAAAGTCTTTCCCACGTACCGCTCACAGTGAACTCGAATTTGATCGAATACCCCTAGAAAAAAGTAACGCAAATAAAAATGTAGATCCAAGGAAAAGTACAGTGATGGTTACTAAGATTGGCAAATTGCTTAAGAAAGAAAGAAAGAAGAAAAGGCTGACGTAATGTTGGAAGGTGATTGTTGCTAAGTTAATATATCAAATTTTAAGGCTGGTTCACTCAGCACCGTTTACCTACGTCACGATCCTTACTTACGCTAACATCAGGATACGACCGCAAGTCGCATTTGAACTTCGAATCCTGCGCACCAATCTACTCCTTTAACTGGTGGCAACACTTTGTACAAAGCACGAATGTGCCGGTGACTTGCGGTCGGTTCTCGACGTAAACGTAACTAAGAATCGTAACGTAAGAAAATGGTGTAGTGTGAACCAGCCCTTACTCAGCATGCGAATAACTTAGGCAAATGGTTGCAGCGTTTCTCGGCTTGGCCCAGGGCTAATTTGGGGATTATATACGAACTGGAACAGGGATGAACGAAGGCTCCGGGGTACTAACGCCACTTCGAGTCATTGACATCTAAATTTAAAAGCGGACGAAGAATTAGACCAGAGGTTCATATGGGGATGAAATTTACACTCGAGAAACAAAATGAGTGTCAATTTTACTTGTGTAACATCCTCGCGAAGAAAACGCACTATATAATCCGTGTTACCACTAAATTTCACGGAATAGTGAAGGAAACGGGGTAAATATTTATTTTTCACTGTTGCGATACTTTATATTTACTGACAAGATGTGAACGGCAGAGAGTATAGTTTCCCCTTGTCGCAACCCCAGAGCAAGCTTTTTACGTTATTTGAAAGAGACGACCTGGGCAGTTTTCTCGTTGTCTGCGACTTTAGATGTTTTCTGTTGGTTTCAAAACTTAAACCCTCGAACGTTCGCTTTTTCCAGAATTCTCATAAAAGAACGGGAGAGAAAAAGAGAGACTAGCACAGAACTTACATGCTGTAGAATCCTTCAGTTGTATCTTGTCCCGGACGTAGCTTCTGGCGAGCGTCAGAATGAACCAGAAGGGCAAGCTGTCCTTCGACGGGCCCGGCAGAGCTCTGAGAGCGTTCCAGATTTGGAACCAGCGAATGATTCGAGGAATGACGAAACCACACAGTATCGCAGCTAGAATCGTCGGTGCAAGCTTCGCGAGGATAGAATTCGCGTCGGAAGTCAGTGACGTCCACTCTAACCTGACCATTTCTGGTTCGTGCCGTGGTCCCTCAGTCTTTCAACTTGGAACAACGTTAAACAGCGTAAGATAAGGAAAACGTGCGACTGAATAACGAGTAGGTTGTCGGCTCGAACAACGTTTTGTGAGGACGTCTGGGAGGTCTGCCTTAAATATACCTCACCAGGTTTGTAATCAGGAGGAAGAACGGCACGTTTGCTGTAACTGTGCGCGTAAGCTGTTGCATTGTTCTGTCGCAAATATTTCTTTTTTAGTCAGTACGCGTCCTTGTTAACAAAAGAAAAGCTTGCATAAAAGTGGTACTTGAAGTAAACGAGCGAAGTTACGGTTCAATTCCGTTTGTGTTTTGCCTCGTTCGTAGCACATGCATGTACGATTGTCTGGAGAATAATGCGGGGTCATTCCACGTAAAACGTCCCAGACGTTGCTCTCGACCACCTCCGATTTCTAAAAAAAGATTCATGGGTTTCAGCCACAATGTCCGTAGTTTTGTTTTGACGAAAAAAATTTTGTGATGACGTGTGCGCGATTTTAATTTTTCAAAACAACGTGAAACTTGGCATCACTCAATAATTGACGAAAAATCAGCTTTTTTATGAAACACCCAACAATATTTTTTTTCTTGAATTTGAACGGTTGTCGACTTACAATGTGGTTTGGTTTGTGCAGTTTTGTTTAATTTAAATACTTTTTTTAAATACATAATCTTATACAAAAATAAACATTTTTGTCATTTTATTCAAAAATATATATAATTGCTCCCGGTACCTAATATAACTCTTTACTGGCTGCCCCCTCTAGGTATATAATCTATAAAAATATTTTAAACCGCTCAATTAAACATCTTGCAATAAAAAAAAAATCCTGAAGTTGCCAAAAAGAGCGTTTTGACGCATAAACAGCCGTTTATTCCACGCTGAGTTGGTCCAAGTAAAAATACAAAATATGGTGGGTTTGGAACAACGATTGATCGTCTTTTGATTCTGAAACTTTTATTCAGAGTAATTTTTGTTTAAAGCGAGAAAACAATTTTTGAAGTTGAACTCTCGCACCACTACCCGGCGTTGCTTCTTAACGCCTTTTCGCCACACAGCACGCCACCTGCGACGATAGCCGAAGCGATTAGGTCCAAAGAAAAACAACGGAGTTTGCTGCCCGCTTCCCCTCGTCCCTCTTTTCTGGCTGTGAGGCAAGAAACGGTGGGTATTATGTACTAATCGGAGGTGCCGCAAGTGCGTCGCCACAGCAGGCCCGTTGTGCCCTTTGTAGCCGAGGGCGGCTCCTCACACTCCGAAACGCGATGCCTAATCGACGGGCGGCATCAGCTGACGTGGACGTCTGAAACACGATAATATCGCCGCAAAATCTAGCCGTCACGCATACTGCGGTGAAAAGCGGAACTATGATCCGGTTCGCGCTTAGTTGGAGCGCAGTGAAGGCTACAGGCGCGTGATCAAAGCTCTGAAACGCGCTGATTCAGTGTGTTAACTTGGACGCTTGAAGCATCGTCACAAGCCAAGATTGCGCTTCTAGCATTATTTTCAGTTCATATTGTCAGTGCTGAAATGTTTACATGACCAATCGGAAATATTGAATAAACAAAGGTACGTGTCCGCGCTATTGACACTGGGTATCGAGACTCCTTCCTTGCCTTTTGAGGAACTCGCTTCTGCGCTAGTAAGCTAAGAAAGGGCTGCCAAGCGAGAAGTTGGCTTTTGAACGACCATTTGAGATCGGAAATCTGTCGAAAAAAGAACTTTATTTTTCGTCAAGTACGTTGTACGGCTGTGTAACGATGAATGAAGCTCGTACCTCTGGAGGAAGAAGTCAATCTACGGTTCCTGTGGATGCTGATCAGGGTGCATAGGAAAGCTGGCTTTATTTTGTACAATACAATGATAGTTGTGTCGTGTTTACTCGTGTCTACCCTGCACAGTATCTGTCTAGTTGTGGCTGCTCAATTCATGACTTTTTCAAACCAACTAGACTAGCTTTTTCTTTTTTTTTAAAGCTGGCCGTTCGTCGTACATGTAGTATGTGTTACGTTAGACATGTATAAGCCCAAGCTGTAGGGAAGGATGCGTTGGCTTATATTAAATACACATGGTTCGCCTTATACCTTTCACATGCCAATTAGCGTTATCAAAGTTCAAAGTCGAATGGCGTTTCGCGTACAAGGCTAGCTTCTGCACGTAAGACGCATATCTAAACCATATCTGCGACTTTTCATTTATGCGCAGCACGCAGATATGGTTCACATAAATGAAGGAGCAGCCATGTTCCATTCAAATTTCTTTTTCAATGCAGAAGCCGAACTTCCTCCGTGCTCCCTTGGTGCAAGGGGTTGCCATGTGACCACACAGACCAAGACGCGGTCCCTCATCGACGCTCAAGACCTGACGCACACGGATCGGTGGCTGCTTTCGCTCCGTTCCTGGCGCCCACAAGGTGACATCCGTACAGTGTGTTCCCATCATTATCAATTCTACCTTAAAAAGTACACATCACTGATTGCATCCAAGTGGTGTTCTAACCCATTCTATGAACACGTCAAAAACCGCCGTGGATCAGCTGTCATTACAATAGCCTTGGCAGATGCGCACCCCAATTTAAACCTTATTTTTGGAAACCGACTTTGTCAAGCATGCCGGCGAAATTGTTTCGAATTGAAGAAGAGACCTACTTTTCAAGCACCACCACCACCTCTCGCTCGTGATGCCCCTTCTGAGCATGATGACCCCGAGGTAGCACTTGAAAGCGTCAACGAGGCCCTCGCAGCCGTTGGAGAGAGCCCTCTCCAACGAAAACGAGGGTGAACAAGCCGCGAGACATACGTCCAAAAGAAGGTTAGGAAACTTAAAATCACTGCCCAAAAAATAATTTGCACACCTTTGGGTGTACAGAAGAAACCAACTTCTCAGCCGAACCAGGATGAAGATTTTGTTTTGAGTGACTACGTGTCACTCATGCAAGATGTAAAAAAGAAGTTTGACTTGGAGAAAAATAGAGAGAAAAAATTACAACTTCTAACATTGGCCCCACCCTCTTGGTCTCGCGAAAAGATTATGAACTTCTTTGGAGCCTCGGAACGAGCAACGCGTCAAGCCGTAAAGGTCAGGTCAGAATCAGAAATATTGGGCACCGTGCCAGAAAGAAGAGGCCGCCTGGTCAGCGAAGAAGTCAAGGCTTCCATCGTGGAGTTGCATAAGAACGACGCTGTCTCGTACTGCCTACCGGGAAAAATGGACGTGCTACGTGGTCGCCAAAGGCGTCTGTTGTTGCTCAACTTGAAAGAAATGCACGAGGAATGGAAAAAGAGCTGCGATTTCAGGTGCGGCTTTTCAACATTCGCAAGTCTGCGGCCTTCACACTGTGTCCTACACTCTTAGAAAAAATGACTACCATGGGAGGCAAAATGGCGCTTTGGAGGCTTTGACTAAACCAAAAGGCGAGTTACTAGCCTTGGTACGAAGTGACGATCCCAAACCGCTGTGGAATGACCACCTTTCTGCAGGTGACGACAGGGGGGTGGTCACTTTCGAATCCGATATTCACGTGCAGGAAGTCGTAAATGATATTAGTAACTTAGATAACTACAGAAAGACTATAAATTATATTCTTTCTAAGCTTTCGTTATCCTTTAAATTCCGCGTAAATTGGTGGAATAAACATTTTGTCAGCGCGAGCAGCAACACTGGTCTCAACAGCTCTGGACCGTGGTACGATGTACTAGCTGTGGCATCATAACAACAACGAACGACGTGGGTGTTTGCCGAACTGAGGTGAGGTTATCTTTTTGTCGTATTTTATTGCAAGGAATATTTTAAAAAAAAAGATTAATTGTATATCCGATCGTGTTGAAGCATTGAACACTGAGACCTAGGATCGAGAGGGTAAACATGCTCAGAGGTTACTGTGTCGCCCGTAGTGTTTTGATCAATCTCGGACTGGTTGAATTTCTGAGCTGTACCCGTCGTGGTTGTGATCTCCTGGCTGTATGTACGAAGTGCGCGAACTTTCCAATTCAGTAGCAGGCTGAAATTCAGTGGCAGTGTAGTAATTGACTTTTACTATCGGGTGATTCAAGGAGCGGCCAGGCTCTTTAAATCGACCTCAAAATTCGGTTTCTTAACCTATCGCGTTCCGATTTTGTACAGCGTTGGCCACAGGTGGTGCATTTTTTCTATAAAATTTGAAAAGAGTGAACTTACCTGGGGAAAACGTAAACCAAAAAAGAAAGAAAAAGAAAAGGCTTAACTCCTATGGAAACGCAGCGAAGCCACTGGTCTTCAAACCATTGAGCGCCCTGTGGGTTGAAGACCGGTGTCTTCGCTGCGTTTCCATAGGAGCTAAGCCTTTTTCTTTTTTTACTTTTTCCTCAGGTAAGCTCGCTCCTTGCAAATTTTATAGAAAAAAAATGCACCACCTGTGGCCAACGCTGTACAAAATCGGAACGCGATAGTTTGAGAAACCGAATTTTGCGGTATATTTAAAGAGCCTGGTCGCATAATATCACCCAGTAGATTGTTGCGTCGTCACGGGCGCTATTGGTATTTTTACAAGCGCCAGCGCGAGCCCGAACTTGCCCCTCTTTCGCCGTTTGCGTTCTTCAGTTTTGATGTTCTGCTCTATGATTTATTAAACTTAACCTAAAAATCAATCACCTCTGCCTCGTCACCCGTCAGGGCACCCCATAGCGCTGCCGCTCTACCGGCCCTTCCTGGATGTGTCCTGCTGCCCAGTAGCAGCCGGATCGTCGAACCACCGCCATCGTCGCCTCTCCACTAGAGGATCACTACTTTTTGGTGCGTCAGCTACCACTATATTTCGGCGCGTCAGCTACCGCTATATTTTGGTACGTCGGCCGAGCCTGTCGGCCCATCCCATTTTTTCGACTGTTTAAACGGGGGGGGGGGGGGGGGGGGGAGCAACGATTTCTGGACTTCAGTCAAAGATTTCTGGAAGTTGCCTTTGACACTTCTGAAGTAAAGAACAGAACACCGATTTCGCCCGCGTGTCCTAGCTGTTGCGTAAAGAAACGATAAATATTGGCATTTCGGGCACCCCTCAACTCACTCCCAGACTTCAGGGTCACACCTGGTCCCCCTCCTAGTGACGTCATTCGGAGTGCCTTGTAGGTTCCCGTGTGCTATCTCGAAGGACGCTTCCTCTCCTTCTCTCTGCTGACATTAGCGGGCGTTATGCTGCAGCTTAGAGCCGAGCGAGGTAGGTAGGTAGTAAACGTTTATTGGAAGAAACATTCGAACGGTCGCCCTAGGCGTGGTTCGAGGAGGGAACAGGTTCTGGGGAAGTCTTTGACGTGAAGGAACGGCCGTGCTCAGAACGTCGACTCCAGGCCCGTGTTCTCTAAGTACAGGAGCAATGAGTCCAGGATCAGTGCGATTCTGGCCGAGTCTCCCTCAGGCCGGACCCAGCCTTCCAGGTTGGACGGCCTCGATGCAGGTGGAAGAAGACTAAGCGCTTTCTTTCTTTCGTTGGTGAAGTGACCGCACTCCCACACGAGGTGGTGCAGGTTTGCACTTAGGGTTTCTTTGCAGTAGGGACAGATCTCAGGCTGTTCCAGTGAATGTTGGCGTTGCATCTGCTGCGGCTGTGGCGGGGAGGCCGGCGGACTGGCTGTCGACACTGGCGGTCTGTTTCTGCCGATCTTGCCAGCACTCAGTTCCCACTTGCGTCGGTCGTGAGGGGTCACTGCACTGCCGGTCCTGATCCTGCGCAGAAGGACCATTTTCTTCCTGGAGTAGCGGCCGAGCGGGATGGGGTCGGGTTCGCGCGGGAGGGAGGCCAGGAGCCTCTTCTTTAAGTCTTGTCTGACCTTTCTCATTGCGTCTTCAGGGTCGTAGAGGGTCCGGTCTCTTGTCTCGTCTTGTTTCCTGGGGCCGGTCCTGCCAGAGTAGGCTGAAGTGCCGGGCAGGGAGTCCACACTTCGTGGCCGCGAAAGGAGAAACGTTGCTAGCGCTTCCGCGGACCGGTGAGCGGCCTCGTTGCCTGGCACTCCGGCATGGCCGGGGACCCAGTGTACAGTGGTTTTAACGTTCTTGCTCTCGAGGCGCCTGGCGAGTGCAAGAATGCGCCGGGTGGTCGGGCTGTTGGGGTCGTGCTTTCGGCATCTTCGTATGGCTTCCTGGGCGTCGGTGTAAATGTCCACCGTCTTCACGGGTGAGTTCAGGCTTTGGGTAACGTGTTCCAGGGCGTGAATGATCGCCTGGGCTTCGGCTTCCTCGGGCGTTCCAGCGGTCTTAGTTTCGCGGCTCCATGACTTGTTTTGGCGGAGATCGTGCCAGGCCGTGGTGGTGACTAGATCCTTATGTGCTGCGTCTGTGTACAGCACGATGGTGGTGGGGTCTTCCAGTTTCGTGGTTACGACGGTCAGGTGCTTTTGGGCGTAGTCCCGGCGCCGTTCCGGTTGGTCCAGGCCCATATTCCGCGGTATAGGTGTGCTGGAGGCCACGTCTGCTATTTCCCACGGGGGGATTGGGCGGCCGAGTTTAGGAAGCGTGGACACGTCTTGTCGCAGGAGTCGTAGTATGGCCCTGCCCTGTCTAGTGTGTTGCAGTGAGACGAGGTGCAGTTCGTGCTGGTCCTTGGCTAAGTCCTGTAGTTTGGGGAGGGGAACGCACCTGTGTAGCTCCTCCAGTTTGGTGTGTCTCGGTAAGCCCGCAATAGTTCTTCGGGCGTCATTCTGCCATCTTTCAATTGCTCGCCAGTGACTCTTATTCAACTTGTAGTAGTTTGCTCCGTAAAGTACCTTGGAAGCTAGCACGGCCCGTATCAGGGTCTTGGCCACCTCCTCGCTCGCACCACCGGTCTTTTGGGCGATGCGGCGGACCAGTGCCGTGCCCTGTTTCCAAATCTTGGTCATCCTGGTTAGCCATTCTTTGGGGGACTTTCGTTGGTTGAAGAACACTCCCAGGATCTTGTGCGTCTCTGCTTGGGTGATGGGGAGACCACCGAAGGTCAAGTCGTGAGTTGGGTGACCTTTGCGGGTAAATATTATGTATCTGGTTTTGTCTGGTGACGGGGAGAGTCCGGTCTCTTTGAGGAATGCTTCAATGGTGTCCAGTCCTATCTGAAGGGTCTGCTCCCTCCTCGCCGGGTTCCCACTTGTCGTCCAGATGGTGATATCGTCTGCGTATATGGTGAACTTCAAGGTGGAAATCTTGTTCAAGCGCCACGCCAGCGGGGCCATTGTCAGGTTAAACAGGATTGGGGAGATCACCGCGCCCTGGGGCACACCAATATTGTTGTTCCTTAGAGGTCCGCATATGTCGCCAGTCTTGATGGAGTACTTCCTTTGTTTCAGAAACCCCTTCACAAAGTTGAGGGGCTTGTGGGTGATGCCACCTTCTCGGAGTGCCTTTACGATCGCTTCGTGGGGTAGCAAGTCGAATGCCTTACAGATGTCGACCGCGACTAGCGAGCAGGTGCTTCCCTTGCGGTAGACGTCTGTAGACAGAAGTAGGAGGCTGTCTCTCGTACCCAAATGTTGTCGGAAGCCCGTTTGTGCCGCGTGGAAGAGCTTGCGGTCCTCGGCGCTCCAGGTGATGCGTGCTAGGACGATCCTCTCAAACAGCTTGCACATTACCGAGGTCAGGGATATAGGCCGGGTATTCTTCGGTGTGTTCGAAGGTTTACCCGCTTTCGGGATCGGGGTGATGCCATTCGTCCGGGAAGGTGTCGGTTTCCCACATGTGGTTGAACCAGCGAAGGACTTGCTGCTTTCCTTCTTCGGGTAGGTTCCGCAGCATGCTCGCGGTGATGCCGTCTGGGCCGGGAGCAGACTTTATTCTCTCTTGGTCAATAGCGGTCTCGAGCTCCCATCGGGTGATCGGGGTGTTCCACGGAGGGGGGTCTTTCGGTGCTTGTTCTAGAGTGTAGATTGCTGCATTCGGGGTCGTCGAGGGTTGGGGGAAGAAGGCTTTTCCCATGTCTTCAAGTACGTCCTCGAGGGGCTTGTCCAGGGCTAGGGCCATGTTTTCTATCGTGTTGCGGACCTTGGTGAGACCGAGCATGCCTCGGAAGGTGCGCCACAGCTTGCGTATCGACGTACGCTGGTCAAAGGAAGCGCAATGGTCGAGCCACTCGTTCACTCTGAGCTTTCGTGCATATTCCTCTGCTTCGGCGGTGATTCTGTTCACTTCCTTCAGTGTGTTCCGGTCTTTGGTTTTTCTGTACTCTGTGAGTTTGCGCGTGCGGTGGTCCCACAGGGATAGGAGGTGGGTGTCCGGTGTGGGGCAGTCCCAGTTCACCTCCTTCTTGGTCGAGGCTTCCCTCGTGGAGGCTACTAGCAAGGCGCAGAGTTTTGTCGACATGTCGTTTTCGTCAATTTGGGCGCGTAAAAGGGCTCTGAATTTGTCCCAGAGGACTGTGACCACAGTTTTCTTGGCCTTGGCCCTGTTCTTGATACGGATCGATATTTCTATGGGGTAGTGGTCGCTGCCCCACGCGTCGGGGAACACCGACCACTCCATCCCCTCGATTCTTGAGTCCACTAAGGTTAGGTCGGGGTTGGTGTCCTGCTGGTTGGCCGAGGTGCCTACTCTCGTCTTTTCATGCGTGTCGTTCGCGAGCTCGAGACCCGCCTTCTCGTAAGCTTCTAGTAATCTGGCTCCTCTCTGGTCATCGTCGCCGTAGCCCCACTCCCGGTGGTGCGGATTAAAATCGCCGCCTATGACCATCCTATCGTCTGGGTAGACCGTTCGTAACTCTTCTATCCAACTGAAGTTGGGGTCTTCGGCGGTAGGGCGGACGTACGCCGACACGAGGATGAGCTTATGGTTGTCTATGAGTGTGCGCACCGCAGTGACTTCCTGGTCTGGTGTGCACCATTTCTGTGCATCAATTTGGGCATGTGGTACGGTCCCCTTGAGGTAGACGGTGGCCAGTCCTCGTGCTTCAGGGGGGCCGGTCTTTGTATATTTCCGTTCGATCGCAGGATTGTGGAAGTAGTTGTATGCGGAGAGTCGGGGGTCCTTCACGTTGGTTTCTTGCATCAAGATCGCGTCGTACGAGTGTCGGTGTTGAGCCAGTCGAAGCTGGAATTCGTTTTTGCGTTTGGTTAGGCTTCTGCAGTTCCATTGTAGGATTCGAAGTTGTCTCGGAACCAAGGGCGAGGCTAGTGACGGCATGAATTTCCCGGTGCCTTGAGTTTGCTGGTTATGAGGATTGCTGGTGTGACTGCTGCGTGGATCCCCCTTGTTCCGCGGCTTATTGTCCAGGGACATTAACGGTGAGGATGGGCTGACGTAGTTGGAACTGCGGCGGTGCCGGCGGGGTGGGGGCAAGGGTTGAGTGTTGGAGCTCGGCTATGAGTTGATTGAAGTGGGCCTGCATTTGCTGCTGCATTTGCTGCTGGAGTTGTACTTGCATTTGTTGCAGCCAGACTTGCATTTGGGACTTGAGGTCACCTTGAGATGGTGGAGGCTGGGATTGCTCCTGCTGTGGTTGCTTGTTGCTTGCTGGAGGGGGTGCGGGGTGGTTTGGCTGTGATCGCGGCGTGTCTCGCAGAGGTGGTTGCGGGCTTGGGTGAGCTTGCGGCTGGCTCGACACATGATGCTGGGGGCCCGGCTGGAAATTGACTTCCAGTTCTTCTATCTTTTTTTGTAGGGTAGCCATTTTTCGTCGGCGGTCGGCAGCTATGCGTGCGTGCTCTGCTTCCTCCTCCTTATATCGCCTTAAGAGGGTGAGAAGCTCGTTGCGTTGGTTCATGAGCGGCGTGGTTGATGGGGTTCTGCAGTTGCGAGGCGTGGCTTTATATGCGTACGTGTCTTGCGGTGGCGCTGGCTGGTCAGTAATGTTTTCAGTCGATCGGGGCAATGGGTTTTTGGTCTGCTTGGAGGAGGGCGGTGCTCGCCCGTCTCCTGAATGGGGGGTCTGGGCTTGCCTTCCCGACTTTGGCTGCTGTGGGAGAGGATCAGGAGTTTGGCCTTGGTTTCCCACTGCTATTCGCCGGCGATGCAGTTGTTGGTTCAAGGCCGGGCGTGGTCGGGCACGGGCTTGGATCCTAGAGTCTACCTTTTTCCTCTCTGGACAGTCCCGGGAGGTGGCGACGTGGTCTTGGGAGCCGCAGTTGCGACACTTGACTGACTCACAGCGGTGTCCTTCGGTCAGAAGACCGTCGCAGGACTGGCAGCGCTTTTCCTGCGTGCAGATGTCGGACTTGTGGCCCAGGCCGTGACAGTTGTTGCAGACCACCGTGGAGGGGCGGTACGGCTTGACTTGTATGATCTCGTACCAGGCGCGGATGCGGCGGGGTACACCCTGGCCTTGGAAGGTCAGAAGGTATGTGCCGTTGGATCCCAGCGGCCTGGCCTGAACAATCTCATGGTAGTCGGCTCGAAGCCCCTCGAGGAGTTTCGCCGGTGGGATGTCGGGTGTCAGATGAACGACCCCGCGTGGGAATTCCCTGGTGGCCGTTCGGTAGACTTGGACGTCGACTCTGCCGCTGCCTGTCTCAAGGTGCGTGAGCTGCAGTAGATTTGCTAAGTGTCGTTCGTCGTAAACGGTGACGGAAATTGTATTCGTCATTCCGTTGCGGCGGTAGGCGAGGCGATCTTCAAGAACGGTCTCGCCTATTGCTCTTTGAAGTTGTTCTCCGATGAGATAGCTCGGGAGTTTTGAGACGTCGACGCGGGCCCGTGGGCGGATGGTGGCTTGGTATTTGTCCAGGTCGTGACGGGGTAGTTTGCTGCCTTTGTCCGGCTTGTTGATCCTCTTCCTCCGGGATACGGTGATCCAGGGGAACTGATTGTCGGAGTCGGTGAAATCGGCGGAAGCATCTTGGCCGTCCTCGAAATCCGTCGGGCTGCGCTCGGAGCATTCGCTCTCGTTGCGGGCTCTCTTTGGGGGGAGCCTGTTCGTGATGGTGGTGGCGGGAGTTCCTTGCTTGGATGTTGTCAGCGTTTCGTCGGGTGGCGAAGATGCGTCGGGTGTCATTTCGGTGTCGGGGGAGGCCGGTAGTTCCGTGCTGGAGGCGGTAGCCATCGTAGCCGAAGGCAGGGCGAGCTAGGCCTAATGGTAGGCCCAGCCTTCCCACTGGCCGGGAACGGCGGCGGCGTCGATGTCGGAGGCTTCGGAAAAAATGCGGCTGTGACGCTCACTTGCCTTCGGGCAGCTCTTTCCGGTGGCGAGCGAAGCTTTCCGGCGGAAAAACGTAGCTCGGGTCCTGGTTCGGGCGGACGAGCGGCGGGCAGGGGCGATTCATGCAGCTCGGCGGGAGCGCCGAGAAACACGACTCTCTCCCACGGCGGCTCAATCGCAAGTCAGCCGAGCGAGGTCACGTAATCTTTTCTTTCGCCGTAGTTCCTTCGGCTGCCACTTGGGGCTACAGGTGCGTGAAAAAGCTCGACTTTTGCTAGCGATTATGCAGCCGAATCGCAACATTTTTAATGAAGGAGGTGTTTTCTTTATCCTCCGGGACACGATAAACAACGTAAAAATGACGAGATGCAAATTCTTTTAATCATAAAGGCGTTGCACCGCCCTTTTAACTCTTTTCTGGGCACAAAAAGAGCCCCTGCGGTTTTTCTAACACTTGTGTTTTTTCCGTTCTTTCAGGAGAGTAAAAAAGCCCCTGATGTTCTTCACAGTGTTCCAACGCTCGTGATTCTTCAGTTTACCAGTCTGCCCTGCAAGACGTGGCCTTTCAAACCTTCTGATCTTTTCCCCTTGGCCGGTCGCTCTGCTGTACCCGGTTGTGGACTTTACGAAATTTCATTGCATTGAGACATGCTGCCCTATTAGCCCCGAGAGCGAACACAAGCGTCGCTGCGGTCGCAGCGCCCTGATTGGGTGAGGTGTACCGTGACGTCAGGGGGAGTACTCCGCTCCGCGACCTCGCATCGGCTCGTTTCCCAGCACCGGTTTCCTGGTTTGGCGTTCTGTGCCCGCAAGCTCTTCGAGGAGCTGGACTTCGTGTACCCGGTGTACAAGACGTTGAGTTAGGCCGATATTGACGTGCTTCCGTAAAATTTAGAAGCCTGCTTGCCCCTTTTACCTTTAAAATTGGGTTACAAATCCCGAAAGCTATCGGAGGAAGCAATTCCGCCGATGAACCTCCCCGTCCGTCCACACGACACAAGGCAATCTTGCGAAGGGTCGGTGAAGCAGTGGCTCAAGTGCTTCAGACGCTGGAATTCTGTTCCTTGCCTGTTCATGATTTAGGACGATATTACATCCCGCTTTCAAGGCATTTGAAGTGGCATTTATATCAAGGGCCTTTGGGTGGTCGGCAAATCAGCTCGTGACCCCGACTCTGCGCTTCCACTCTGCATGCGCTGGTTCGCAGATGTTTTAAAGGCCCTGCATCTGATGATCTTTGAAGTGCTCGTTGAACAGTGCTGTTTTACATAAATGTAGCTTCTTCGTGAATTAATTATATAGTTTATACACGTATGCAGGCATATTTCTTAAACATGCAACATTACTGAAAATTAGATTGTATGGTAGCAGCAAAAGCGGCCGAATTGCCCCCAGTTGCCTGTATGATATGTATTGAACTGCCCAAAATATGCACAGCAATGGTTCCGTAATTTGGAATGTTTATACTTTTTCCTGACATCCTTTATTACAGCCTTGGGTATTAAAAAAAATACACCGTTTAGTCTGAATTGTCATTTCCAATTAAAAGAGACTGCTGACGGTCCCCAAAGCTTCCTCAGCCTCCAAACTCCCTACAGCTGGACTCTCTGACAACAGAGGAAAATAGGAGTAAAAGCGAGCATTCGAACGTATGTCCAGCGGCAGATTCAGCACTAGTAGCAGAAAATGTGGAACCTGTGAAGTGCGACAGTCTGCGTGAGAAAAGCTTCTGATATTTTAGCTTCAGGGCAGTTCAATTTAAGTAAGGTCTCATTTTTAGGGCTTAAGGGACTAATAATGAGCTAGACATCTTCGCTTACGTTTGTTATACATTTCTTGAGGGTTGATATAAACAAGTCCAGAAATACCACCCGTGTAGTCCTTTGAAATACTATACGAATCCAGCAAAGGTTAAATGCCAGCAATGTATATAATAAATGTACCTTGTTTTTTTAGAGCGCAGCTCTTAGGCGCCCGTTTCCGGCTTGAGTGGCGTCGCCGTCGCCGTCGCCGTAACCAAGGTCACCCCAAGGCCACGTGACCCCCAAGGTCACCCCAAGGTAACGTGACTCCCAGGTCATTTGACCCCTTCCAAGGTCACGTGACCCCAGGTCATGTGACCCCCCAGGTCACGTGACCCCCAAGGTCACGTGACCCCCAAGGTCACGTGACCCCCCCGCCGAGGTCACGTGCCCCCTCCGATGACGTCATCGTCACTGATGAAGTCACCGGCATCCACATCGTCATCGTCATCATCACTGATGACGTCATCGTCACCGATGACGTCACCGGCATCCGCATTGTCATCGTCACTAATGGCGTCGTCAGTGACGTCACTGATGACGCCAGCGGCATTCGCATCGTCATCGTCATCATCACTGATGATGTCACCGACATCCACATCGTCATCATCACTGATGACGTCATCAGTGACGTCACTGATGTCGTCACCGGCATCCGCATCGTCATCGTCATCATCACTGATGACGTCACCGGCATCCGCATCGTCATCGTCATCATCACTGGTGACGTCATCAGTGACGTCACTAATGACGTCATCGGTATCCGCATCGTCGGAGGGGGAGGGGTCAAGTGACCCCCCAAGGTCACGTGACCCCTCCCCCCTCCGGTCAGTTGAACCCCCCCCCCCAGTACCCTCCCCTCCTCCTCCTCAAGAGCTGCGCTCTAATTCGGCGTTACAGGGAGTTGTAACCGGCTTTCATTTTTTTTACTTTGCCCCTGCACTTGGGCTGTCTTACTTGTGATTTTCTCCCCATGGCCCAGACTGTATTTAGCATGTTGCTCGAGGAGCATGCAGCTTCTCTGCTTCGGCGATCTTGTTTAAAAGCAGAGATACAAAAAAATAGTATACATAACCTGCCAATTCATTCAGACAATCAACAGCATTTATTGTGCGAGATGTAAATCTATAATGATGCTCCTGCAATTGTGGCCATATTTCTTTATTTCCATATACCAGCTGCGATTCATGCGTTGCCCACCCTGTCAAGCATGCTTAAAATGTTGGTTGAAGTTTCAGCTGTAGCTACAGGCCATATCTCAATAAAGGCACATATAAAAATTTACACTTCCTACGAAAAACACGCAAAAAAAAATGAAATAGAAACGAGCGCGCCGACAGCTAGCGTCGTCACAGCCTCCACAGGCCGAGCGGGGCGAGTCGGGGAAAAATTCTCTCCTCGCCGTGACGTCACCCCGGTTTGCCGTAAGGGGGCGCCACGCGAACTTCTCGGGGCTAACACTCCGTTCACCCCTAAGCTGAGACAGAGCCATATATGTAAAAAGTTTGGCCATTCGTTGGGAAGTATAGGAGACAAATAAGGAGGCGCCATTGGCCGAAAGCGGGCTGGGCGTGTTCCAGGGCGTCTTCACAAATTCGAATGTGGCCAATCAGAGGCTGGAAATAATACCCTGGTGGTGGTTGCGAGAAACAAACTTAATAAGTGCGTCGGAGTAACTCTCGGTGACTGAAAATGTGGTGCACATGATGTTTCTATCATGGTCATCCAAAATTATGGTGGAAGAGGGCGACTGGCGGAACGATCGACATAATCCGTGCGCCGAGGGCCGGGAATCTACCGTCCGAGCGGTCACACTCTCCCCGAGCAGAACAGAGTTGAGCGGCACATTTGTTTCTTACATCTTTCTGCATGAACATGATCGTAACATCACATGCACCCTATTTTCGGCCATGTAGGGTCACTACACTTCACACTTACGTGCTGATTAAAACCATATACCTATGATTAAAACAGTTTCTTGCTACTACAGCTAGGGATTTTTTTTGGCTTCTGGTCGGCCAGGAGAGAATGTGAAGCCCACTTTCTGCTTCTGGTGCACGCCCAGGCTCTGCCCGCGGCTCCCATTGATCAAACTCTTTCTATACACAGCTCTGGGCTGAGACTGCCGTGGGAACTACGTGCCCGCCAAACCAATCAGTCGCCTCCCTTTCATCACCTGACCTAGTCCTCAGTGTGTGATAATGAGCGGAAGCGTGGTCACGGGGCGAAAGAGGAATGTATGACTGGTTCATTGAGGACGTAGCTTTCACCGCAGTCTCAGCTTAGGGATGAATGGAATACAGTCAGCGCGCAAGATGGCCACCCAGCGCTGACCTCCCAAGAAGTTGGTGTTTACAAAACGGCCGCTGTCTTCATTGGCCTCCTCGCTCGAAACTCATGTCGAAGAACCAGCGTGCACCAGCACGCGACAGGAAGTTTTATCGACGGCTGCCCGTACGCGGAGGAGCTAGCATCTCCTCCGTTCAAGACGGATGCTTTCGGCGAATCGCAGTGCTGTGAAATTTATCATTTCTCTCTTTCGAATTTTCTTCTAAGAAAACATTTTTATCATAAATGCCTGTGACCTCAACAGCAGCCGTTAAGCCAACATTTTCCTCTGACTGCAACTATCTCAAATATAATTAACTTTCCTCGGATATGAAGTTTTTCCAATATCATTTCTCATTGACTACTTGTGTGTATTGGAAGATAAGTGTCGTATTCTGGGTATTTTTATTATTGTAGTTTCCCTATAGCTAATGTTAAAAAAATAAAGAATGGGAGAGCAGTAGTTTTTCGTTCTGCTTTAATGGAGAACGGAAGCAGAATTTTAGCGCCTATTTCTTTGTGTAGACATCGTCTGCTTCATGACAGCAGCTCAAAAACAGCAGTCTTTCGTCTGTAAATACAAGAAAAGCAATTCTCAAACAAATAAAACAATTTCCTAATACCACCTTGTAGTTGAGGTCTGAGCTTTGTTGGAATGTCTCACCTTACGGGCCCCTCAGGAGCTACGCCACGGTGTGGCGTGTCCAATGGAGGCGTGCGGGAGCGAGCGGCGCTTGGCGCACCTCTCAGGTCTAGTCACTGATCCCTATGTCTATTTGCTGGACCGCGTTTGCCCACTCCACGAATGCGGCCACTGGCGGCCATCGTTTTGGTAGAGTTATATTACCTCTAGCCAATGTACAACTGGTGCAGCCACTACCATCCATCCATGGCAGACAGCGTTGTGGCAAAAATAGTGGTGGTTTATATTTTGTTCTAGATTGAAATTGTTTGACGAGACATATTGTTGAAACCCAGCGTGAACGGTAGCTCGATCTTTGAGGACCCCGTGAAAGTTCCACCAAATCGCAGCACCGGAGAAAAGCAGCACACAACGTTACTAAAACACTCAGTTGGGAAACTCGCCGTCGAAACCTGGGCCGCTGGCGTCCACCGAGACCGAGCTAAATGCGACAACAGCGCCACTCTTTATCGTTTGTCTGTACTGTGGTCACCTTGAGCTTTTTGAAAGCCTGTTTTTGCTTAAAAATAAAACGAAAAAGACTCTTTTTGCATGAAATTTATTGGAGTCTAGTACAAAAAGAGGGGCGCGTTATGTTTTTAAAATTTTTAGTTTGCAGGGTTTTGCTGCACAATTAATATTGTTTTTATACAACCATGCCTCAGCGGGGCTTTCAGGTAGCGCGTCCCGACCTAGGTGCATTTTAACTTCGGTTAAAATTAACTTCTTCGACTTTAACTTCGAAGTTAAAATGCACCTAGGGCGCGCGACTAACCGAGCGACTGACCGAGCGACTGACCGACCGACTGACCGACCGACTGACCGACCGACTGACCGACCGACTGACCGACCGACTGACCGACCGACTGACCGACCGACTGACCGACCGACTGACCGACCGACTGACCGAGCGACTGACCGAGCGACTGACCGAGCGACTGACCGAGCGACTGACCGAGCGACTGACCGAGCGACTGACCGAGCGACTGACCGAGCGACTGACCGAGCGACTGACCGAGCGACTGACCGAGCGACTGACCGAGCGACTGACCGAGCGACTGACCGAGCGACTGACCGAGCGACTGACCGAGCGACTGACCGAGCGACTGACCGAGCGACTGACCGAGCGACTGACCGAGCGACTGACCGAGCGACTGACCGAGCGACTGACCGAGCGACTGACCGAGCGACTGACCGAGCGACTGACCGAGCGACTGACCGAGCGACTGACCGAGCGACTGACCGAGCGACTGACCGAGCGACTGACCGAGCGACTGACCGAGCGACTGACCGAGCGACTGACCGAGCGACTGACCGAGCGACTGACCGAGCGACTGACCGAGCGACTGACCGAGCGACTGACCGAGCGACTGACCGAGCGACTGACCGAGCGACTGACCGAGCGACTGACCGAGCGACTGACCGAGCGACTGACCGAGCGACTGACCGAGCGACTGACCGAGCGACTGACCGAGCGACTGACCGAGCGACTGACCGAGCGACTGACCGAGCGACTGACCGAGCGACTGACCGAGCGACTGACCGAGCGACTGACCGAGCGACTGACCGAGCGACTGACCGAGCGACTGACCGAGCGACTGACCGAGCGACTGACCGAGCGACTGACCGAGCGACTGACCGAGCGACTGACCGAGCGACTGACCGAGCGACTGACCGAGCGACTGACCGAGCGACTGACCGAGCGACTGACCGAGCGACTGACCGAGCGACTGACCGAGCGACTGACCGAGCTGTGGCTCGGTCAGTCGCGCGACGAGGCAAACCGCACAGAAGCGACGGGAGAAAGCGACCAATACGATGAGCGACGTTTTCTAGAAATCTAAAAAACGAGCGACGCGACGGGTGACAGTGGGAAATCTTCGTCATTGACTCTCATGGTTGTCACCATCTCTCGTGTCGTTGCTCGCTAAAGCGCTTACATACGGTTTGGCTTTTACTTACGGAAATAATGTCTAAAGCCGTGCGGGAGCGAGCGAGAAGCACGACTGTGATAGCCTTACTGGGTCAGTTGAGATTTCCATATGTTACGATGGTGTTGACTGCCCTTTATGAGCGACAAAAACGAAATCATGCGATGAACTTACACGGTCTCTGAAGCCTAGGCCATAATCTTGCATCGTCGATCCATTCGCTGTCCGATTCCATTCCATAAATAAGAAAATACAAGAGCTATGTTCAAATATAGAGATCAAATAATTAAATGAAAGCCCGAAATATCGAAAATACCTACCGAAAGCACAAGATTTTAACGCGGAACGTAAAAGAACACAAAAACAAAGCTCCGGTGGTGGCCGGCGCAACACACAACGCGTAGCAACGGCGAGAAACTGAAGGTCAGCTATGGCGGCAGGGTCACGTGACGCCAAGATGGCGGCGCCCATGAGATGTTTCTGAAAGGGTCTATAGACATAGAGATCAGTGGGTCTATTACCCCGTACCTCGGGCATTCCCACTTGGCAGAATTGTAACGCGCTGACGATAAAGTTGGCACCACCTAGTGACGACAATCGTAATTACTATACCCTTGGCCTCGTATGGGCCCGTGACGTTGCGAGCGTTACGTAAGAGCAAATATCTCGAGATACGTTGTGCCGACTCAATGGCTGATTTTGAACCGCTCGCCGGAATATGTCGGTTGGAACAAAAAATATAGCCATCTGCTGAAAATACAAGCGTGTGATTATCATTTACGGATATCATGGATCATATTTCACTCATTTCAAAGTGCTCCTGGGATGTTCCAATTGTTTTGATTCTGTACCCCCTTAATCTCTTTCTTGGGGTTTTGTTTAAAACAATATAAGGAAAGTAGAATCTAATAATTGGCTTGTACTAGTTTGTTACGTCGTCACAGACACTATTTGTACTATTATGACTGCAAGTTCGAGCCCGACCTTGCACCTCTTTTTGCCATTCTTGTTCTTCAGTTCTGATGCTCTGCTCTATAATTAATTAAACCTAAACCTAAAAGTCAATTACCTCTGCTTTGTCGCCGGCAGGGCTCGGGCTGACTGTGACCCCCGGCCGCTTCTCGTCTCCCATCAGGGTACCCCATCACCTGGCCGCCCTACCAGCCCCTTTTGGATGACTCCTGCTGCCAAGAAGCAGCCTGATCATTGAACCACCGAACCTCCAACATTGTTGCCTCTCCGTCAAAAAATTGCTACAGGCAGGCCGGTCCACTTCTGGGGAAGCTGTGTCCAGAGCTGATCCGCCTGCTGTTGCTGTTGTCCTCTAGAAGTGCCTACTGTTGACATTCGTGTACCAAGTGAGCAGACAATTTCAGGAATCCAGCATAGGCCTAAACTGCGCGCCCACACAGTCTGTCCCACACCAAAGGATGATTGCCTCCCATGTGTGGGGACGAGTCCAAATGCATATAGACAAAAATCAATCTGGGATCTGATGTGGTAGCCAAATAACAGTTAAGAATACTTCCTATCTTTTGCTGAGGTTCTGCAGCAGTGGAACTTCAACAACGGTGGGGAAGTGCCTGCAAGCCTGGTTCCAAGACTGTGAGGTTGAACCTCATAAATGCCCCCTTGTCTCCACATATCGCATGCTTGGGTAACCCGATAAACTGCAGGTGATACAAAGTGGTGGTGGGGTGATGTACATGACCGTTGTAAAAACTGTTTGAAAACAGTACTATTAATCTTGGTCCGTTGTCAAACACAAGTACCCTTGGCTGTCCATATCAATCAAAGATGTCGCACTGGGCTTCCACTGTGGTCTCGGCCGATGCTTCTATCTGCTTTGTGTCCGAGTGGACCACGATCAGTATTACGTGACTCTCCAGCAGTACAGCATAATATAAGCCATGTTCAGCGTTGCTTGATATCCAATCAGCTGACCCGAACCTTCACCACGGGCATTTAACAGGACTGGGCACATGTTTCGCACCTTCTTGCATGGTCTTAAATGTCTTTGTCAACACCGGGGTACCAGAAGGTAGTGCGTGGCAAGCTTTTCATGACTGACCTGCCTGGATAGGTGTCATGGAGCATAAGTAAGATTAAGATTTTAATGGTCATGGAGCATAGGCCTCCTGTATACTGATAATGCCTGCTCAACTGCCAGTTGCCAGCTATCACCACAAGGGTGCGTCACTTTCCTATACAAGGCAGAAAATGTGAATGAAAATAAGCCTCTCTCAGTGCGTTCTTGTATTCTTGGTGCTGCTTTTGGCATTTGTCGTGGTACCTGTGGGCAAGAACTAGCCAAGGCTGTCATTTGATGAGACCCCAAGCAACACCCGGGATCATGGAAAGTTACTAAAGCTTATTTTGAGAAAAAACTGCGTCCCAAATTGGACCTCCTATATACCTAATAGCGTGCGGTAGGCACCTTTTGTGACGTACATAAAGGAGGGCCTGTCTGGTCCTCCTTCGTGCATTCTGCTCAGGCTCCACTCAAAGCACAGCTTGGCTCAGGCCTCTCTGGTGCCAAAGCTGGATAAGCCCATGTACCCTCTATATATCTAATAGTGTGCGGTAGGCACTTTTTTGTGACATACATAAAGGAAGGCCTGTCTGGTCCTCCTTCATGCATTCTGCTCAGGCTCCACTCAAAGTCCAGCTTGGCTCAGGCCTCTCTGGTGCCAAAGCTGGATAAGCCCATGTACCCTTCTATATACTTAATAGTGTGCGGTAGGAACCTTTTTGTGACATACATAAAGGAAGGCCTGTCTGGTCCTCCTTCGTGCATTCTGCTCAGGCTCCACTCAAAGCCCAGCTTGGCTCAGGCCTCTCTGGTACTAAAGCTGGATAAGCCCATGTACCCTTCTATATACTTAACAGTGTGCGGTAGGCACTTTCTTGTGACATACATGACGGAAGGCCTGTCTGGTCCTCCTTCATGCATTCTGCTCAGGCTCCACTCAAAGCCCAGCTTGGCTCAGGATTCTTTGGTGCCAAAGCTGGATAAGCCCATGTACCCTTCTATATACTTAATAGTGTGCGGTAGGCACCTTTTGTGACATACATAAAGGAACGCCCGTCTGGTCCTCCTTCATGCATTCTGCTCAGGCTCCACTCAAAGCCCAGCTTGGCTCAGGCCTCTCTGGTGCCAAAGCTGGATGAGCCCATGTACCCTTCCAGGTCCTGTTTTGGTGCTGCTTGACTGGCTCTCACTATTCACCTACACACATCTTTCTCGCACCGCTCGAGGTATATAGGGACGGGCGCCTGACAACAGGCACAGTGCGTCATTACGAAACATGAGCCCCGGCACAGCTAACACCTTCCACAGTGCTTACGTGACTTCGTAGCGGTTGTTAACCCAGAGGACCCTGGCCATTGCAATTCCTCTTCACCTTCTGAACTTTAAAGAAAAAAAAGTGAAAGCCGTTTACAGCTCCCTGTAACACCGAATTAGAGCGCAGCTCTTGAGGAGGAGGAGGGAAGGGTACTGGGGGGTGAAGTGACCTGGGGGGGGTCACGTGACCTTGGGGAGTCACGTGACCATGCCGATGATGTCATCAGTGACGTCACTGATGACGTCATCAGTGACGATGACGATGCGGACTCCGATGACGTCATCAGCGATGATGACGATGACGATGCGGATGTCAGTGACGTCATCAGTGACGTCACTGATGACGTCATCCCGGGAACGGGCCCCTAAGAGCTGCGCTCTAAAACAATTATGCAGCAAAACCAAAGCATGCACTACCTTTAAGCATTTTAGCACCGCTTCTCGGCATCATTGTCGTTGTTGCAATGCTTTGTTTGTTTGTAGTTGAGATGGTGATATCACAACATCTTCCTTGTCATTCATGGTGCTAGCAGTACCTTCAAAGATCACGAAAACATTCAAACTGCATACAGCTGACACTGCAGTGGAATGACCAAAATATGCTGTTGCCATTTCTGCTTGCGTCGGCCAGCTCACCACAATGCGACATCGGGACGTGCCATGTCACAGTGTAATAGGACGCCAGCTACGATTGATGTGGGAACCATCATACACTGCCTGTCTTTGTCGTGCACGTGTTTCACATCTGCCTTGCCAACTGATGCAATTGAAAGAGTTTTTGTTGAAGGCTACTGAGTTGGCAGGTTACGACCGCCTGAGCGTTCATCTAATTGGCGATTTCACTTGGCTACTCGTTTCAGTGGAATGTTTAATATTGATTGTGTTCATGCATAATCTGTTTATTGGCAGCTTTGTTCAAAAGTACCTCAATTGGTCTATCTAAGGAAGCCTCAAGAAAAAGCTTTGCTAGGTTGCACTAGCCTCAACAATTTTTTTTCTTGAGACCGAGATAAGTACACCTAATTTCATTTTGAGCAACCCAGCACACTGCAGAGGAGGAATGACCCAGATTTAGCATGAAGTTATAGGTTTCGCATGAGCACATTCTATTTGTAGTTGAAAAAGAGGTGTCACTTAATTAGAAAGACAAGTGAAACAAAACCATTATTAGGTATTTCGGTTAAGAAATCTGTGCATACTTACGCTCAGCTTTCAGTATTTTGGGCACATTTTGCTTGTAGCTTTGAGTTTATCTATGATAACTATTTTGTTCACTTGGAGCATGTAAAATGCATTGGTTTTCAGTTGAAGTGTATCTCTCGCTTGGCTTGATCAGTATCTACTTCATGTACTGAACGCCTTTTTACAGGGTTTCGTTGCTACAAGAGTCTTGTGCGCTTGTGGGTGTTTGGTGAGTGGTGTCACCAATCACCATGAGCCCCGAGCCCAGCGTGGGTTCAGACACCC